AAAACGAATTTTCTTGATAATTGAAATTTTTAAAATTCATGTATCAACATTTAACAACTTCAAATCGATTTTGTGAATCTTCTTCGTGAACTTGTTAGATGAGTTGCACTTTGGATGACTTCATTAGAAAATTTTAAGTCATAATATAATTCGATAAGTTCCTCTTCGATTATTTTTCAAAGTCCTTTAGATTGTTTTCTATTTACTAATCAAGTGATTTTCAGAAAATAATGAGAAATATGTCTAGTACAGTCTATGTCTGATGTTTGTAGATCAAATTCGACTTTACTCATGTAAACTTTCTCAGAAACTTTTCGAATAGCTTGTCAATTTAAATAAATTTTACAATCGACTGAAACAAATCATCATGCTTATATTTTTCGACAAAATAATTCATAGCTAGAGATAGAAATGTCACTAACATTAACATCGTAGAACAATTCAATAAATATTAAATATACACCAGAATCTAAATACTCTTAATCAAAACAATATAATAAAAATATTTGCATTGAAATCAATCTTAATTTATCTGTTAATATCATGCATACAAAAACCATGTCAAGAAATAATAGGAAGTAAATCACTGGAATCGTTTTTTTGTCTCTGTTGAGAAATGCATAGGATGTGTTAGTAATAGAGTAAAAACAATCGATGAAAATGAGGACTATCATTCAAGTTTAGGTTCGGATTCAAAGATTTTAAATACGTTGATATCTATGTATCTTTCCTTGCGTTGAGAAGTCGAAATCTGAAGAAAATTCGAAAGAATCATTGCTAATCATTTTAGAGGTGTGTTTATTTCATGTTTTGAAATGAATCAACAAAAAAAAAGACACTATTGAGCTGAAAAAAGCAAACTTTCAATGCAATATGCTGTAATACGCCATAAAAGAAAACTTTTACGGCACTGATGTTGTCCAAGTTTCGTTCTTCTAAGAGATAATGTCTATAAATACAATGGATACAGATGAAATAGATCGACGAAAGAGTTGAGAATAATAGTCCGTCATAAGAAGTATCGTTAGATGCTGATAGCCATTCATTTTAAATTTTATTGACGCTGGTCATATTGGCTAATTCATCTAAAAACATACACTTAACTCATTTAAAAAATAAAACCAACATTTGAATATAATCAATCCAAGATAAACATAGGTGTATAAATTAATTATATTGAATTTCACATGGTTTTTCTGTTATAAAAAAAATTAAAGACGATCAGAAGAAGTAAAATAATTCGTATAAACAGATTCCTAAATACTTTTTATTTTAACCCAGTTGAATTGCTTTTTTTCTTGATCAGGTAGGATTCAACAGGTTTGTTGTTTATAGAATATGATGAAAAAACGTGTATAAGATTGAGATTGTATGTTTTCTTTCAATGTTTACTCGCTCCTTCTTGCTGTACATGCTTCACACATTGTAAAAAAAAAGAAACAATGAATGAAATCAAAACTTTATATTCATCGCCATTCTCGATGTCTTTTTCTATTGAAGTTACAATTCATCAGGAATGAAAGAACAATAAAGTGTTTGAATGGAAGCATCAAATAACTAACAATTTCTATTAGATTTTTTTTATTGGAAGTGAATATCGCAATCAAAAAGATTCGAGATAAATTGGTCTATTCATTCAAATTTCGGTTAATTTATTCTAAATGATTCTTATCTATACTCAGTGCTGAATTAAAGAAGACTGGCTGCAATATTTTTCTCTGTACGCGTTGAGTTACTCACTGAGTTTGTTTTTATAAAAGAAAAAGTGTCATCGAAGAATTGCAAGGTCATTGGAATCTAGGATCTTGAAAGAAAGCCATGAAATATACTATCAATGATAATAATTATTACTTTTTTCTTTCTTCTGATAGCAGGATAAAGATAATTAGTGGAAGAACGAAGTCGGATCTAGACCCTCTCCCTTTTGCTTACGGCACTAGTTTGGATTCGGTTCATTTTCAATCTCTGTTGAGAAATATATAGAATGTGTTAGTAACAGAATACACATAATCGATAAAAATTACATCGAACTTTCAAGGCGACTTGAAGATTCAGAGTGTATCTTTCGTTGGACTTAGGAGCCGAAATCAGAAGACAATTCAAAAAAAAATCATCATCAATAATTTTAGAAGTCTTTTTATTTTATGTTTTAAAATGAACCAATAATAAAAAGCACTATCGGACAAATTTTCAAAATATTATATTGTTATAAGCCACAAAAGAAAACCTTAATGTGATGGGTGTCTTTCAAGCCTTCTTCTTCTAAGAAATAACGTTTATAAATACAATGGCGGCTGATGAAACAGATCGATGTAGAGTTAAGAATAATAGTCCATCATACAAAGTATCATTAGATGTTGATAGTCTCTCATTTTAATTTTATTGACGCTGGTCATAGTGGCTAATTTATCTAAAAACATACATTTAACTCATTTAAAAAAATCAACATTTGAATATGATTCAATCAAAGATAAACATAAGTGAATAAAATGAATTATATTGCATTGTACATTGTTTTTCTGTTACAAAAACAAATCAAAGACGATCAGAAAAAGTAAAATAATTCATATAAACAGATTCCTAAATACTTTTTATTTTAACACTATTGAATTGTTTAAAGACATTTGTATACATCAGTTTCATATATCCATTGAAAAAAATTGACTGAAATATTTACTCACTTGTTCTTGCTGCACATGTTTCGATCGTAATAAAAACATAAAAATATTTCAATAGAAATATCGAATAAGCAACAATTTATATTCGATTTATTTTTATTGGAAGTAAATATTAGGATCAATGAAATTCGAGATAAATTTGTCTATTCATTCAAATTTCGGTTAATTTATTCTAAATGATTTTTTTCTATACTCGGTATTAAGTTAAAGAAGGCTGGCTGCAATATTTTTCTCTGCACCCGTTGAGTTACTCATTGAGTTTGTTTTTATAAAAGAAAAAGCATCACCGAAGAGTTGCAAGGTCATTTGGAATTTTCTCTATGAAAGACTTCGTATCAGTAAGTAAGAAAAAGGAATGAAGGTAAAATTTATTTAGTGGAGATATCTTCAAGTTCGAATAGAAAGAATAGAATGAAATTCTATGCTCGTTATCATTGTTGACAGTAACTGAAGTAATGTCAATCTATTTGTGCAGGACAGATACCTTGATATGTATGTAATTTTTATCAAAAGAAAAGAATTACAGATTTATTTTTCGTTCTACATATTTTACAATATAAAATAAGTCATGATTTTTTTTCCTTTACTACATAAATCGCTATTTCTTATCATTACTTCATCTAATGTTGGTATTTTCTGGTTTGTTGAATTTCTTCTAATCCTCTGATTTCGTCAATGAAGATATTATTGGTACTGTCACTCTGTTGACTCGGCAAGTCTTGCTCAAACGATAGATTAGAGCCTTTCATAATGCTTTTGCAATGATTCTTGCATTAGGAAGTGTTCTACTTAATAATGATCATTATGGAGTATTTCAAACATTAAGGAAGCATTGGATAGCAAAGTCAATTTGGCGTTTTCCATGAAAAAGATATCTCAGACATGTGAATGCTGCTGTTTGTCATATTATCATCCGCACTGACTCGACCATTGTATTAGATAAGCGTAGCATGCATCAATTTCGAGTAACTTGCAATTGACATCTTCCTTGTGCACAGTTCTTCAAAATATTTTCTATGGTGCACTTTTCTATGACATCAGAATGAGCGCAATACCGACACGAAATACTTCTTTTGAAGCTTCAAATGACAAAAGTCACTCTAGAAAGATGAATGTGAAAAAAAGACTTTCAACAGCTTTCATTTATTCAAGTCATGTATTTTTTCATCTGTAAAGAGTTATTTTCCTTATTGTATTCGAATGTAATTATGTAACAAAGGCGTGCTCGCTGTTGCAATACTTGTTTTGTTGCTGATAATAGAAAAAAACGACGAAAAAGAAAAAAAGAATTCATCACATTATTTTCTTGTATGTCGTCAAAGACCATCGTATGCGTCATTGGAGTATTTTTTTTTCCCTACTAAATATCTAGAGATGAATAAGTCATTGTATTTTATTCTTCGTAAATATAATTTTCACGATAAGTTACTATTGTATAGATTCAAACAGAAATTCTTAATAGAATTGAATGTTTGTGTTTGAAAGATATTCAACGATGTTTTGCTTTTGCAACTGTACTATGTATTGATAATATTCAATTAGCTTCTCTTCATGATAATAATGGTCATCAACTTATTCCATTACACACTGAAGCAGTCAACGATCAGATTGTTGATGCTATAGAACCTGTAGGAAAATCGAATGATGAAGTGCATAAATTCTTTGATCGCATTGATATGAAAATGCAAGTGATCGACAACAGAAAACTGAGATTATTCGTGCCAATAACACAAGAAATTCTTATTCGAATAAAATACATAATCGTACAATTGTATAAATTATATGAGTATACCACTTCTCGTTATGCTTTGTTTGTTGTTGTAGTCCATACTTTACAATTTTCATGTGTAGATTCATCTATGATTCGAAAGGCAGCACTACCAGAAGCTTCACCTCAAGAATTACTAATAATAGTCGTATTCGTTGGGTATGTTTGGAATACTACTATACTATGAGTTCCTTTAACAGGAACTTTAACAACAAAGAATATCACAATGTTCTGTCATGCTTTGACAAAAAGTTTTACAATTTTGACACTCATTCTTCAAAGATGTTCGTTAATTTAACACAAAGGATTATTGCTTCAAATTGTTCACCAGGTCTAATAAAACTAAGTTACTGTTATGTACAGAGTGTTTCTCTGTGTAAATAAGACGAAGATGAGATGTCTCTTCTAGTCTAACTAGCTTAGGACATCTGCCCGGTTAGCAGAAGGTACGTGGTTCGAGTCCCGTGAAGAGTCATCTTTTTCTTCATTCTGTGGTCGTTCCAACTTGCTGCATTGTCCTGTATGATTCATAAGAGCCACGAATCATAACAATATTAATCATTAAGACCAAGAAATTTAATAAGATCATCAGATTGCTTTGTATTAGCAGTTGCATCATGATCAAAAAAGAAAAATCCTGAGATATGAATATGTGATCCCCAATCATTTGGTTTTGGTACAAGTAATGGTGACGCAACAGTATGTATAAGGTACACGTTCATCAACCATCATTACGAAATTTATTCATAATATCATCCATACCCAACCAAGTCTAATACAAAGTAAAATAAAACATATTTAAGTATGTCTTTCATTTACTTATCAACATTTCGACAGCACTATACGATAACATATTAACTTTTTCTACAGATTTTTTCGAATAATCAACATTAATTAATGAATATGGAAAAACATTTGTTGGTGACCATGGTATTGTACACATAATATGTAGAGGAATTTGTAATTTTTGTGCACAATGCATATGTCCATAGGATGGTGGATTAGCAATAATAGTTTCAACTCTAAATGATTTTCCTGTTTTATCATCTTCAACAGTACAAGCACGCCATGTTGAAGCAAGAATTTCAGTGAAGACTTGACGATATTTTGTTACATCACCGGCAGCAATACTACTTTTTGAAGGAAGCATATCTGCATTTTTCATTGCAAAAGACATTAATTCAGCTGAATCATCAGCTAATGGAAACAATTTTAGGCCATTTCTACGAACAAATTTACGAAATGTTTCATGTGTAGCTATACGAACACGATGACCAGTTGCTAAAAGTGCCTGACCGAAACCTAAAATACAAATAACAGAAGAATACTATTTTATTAGAATTTGATTATTTTATAGATATGATGACTCACGTAATAAATGGTTGAACATCACCTCTGGTACCAACAATTAGCAGTACGATGTTAATATGCGGTATTAAAACAATATTTTCGCTTTTCTTTATTAGCATTATTTGTTTCCTCTTCGCTGCATAAAAGAAAGAAAAAGAAATATTCATTGATTCTTTTTTTTTCTTCATCACATGTAATTTTACGACACTTTTTATTGTTCTTTCACTAAGGAAAAAAAAGGATGTATCTATTTGTGCTCATCCTTCATTTTTAACATATACATGTCAGGTGTCGTTATTACGAGTTGGGAACGCATATTACTAATAAGAAAGGTGAATGTGAACAAATTTCTTTTTCATTAAAGAAAACTAATAGGGGGAAAAGGAACAATAGTTTAATTATAATTATAGATTGTTTAGAAAAGGTACTTGAGTACATTAATTTTCTCTTCATTTAGAAAATAAAAATTACTTAACTATTTATAGTTCTAAACTCAACTGACTGTCCAAGTCATGGATTATATAACAAACGTTCATTAAACTATGGTTTATTAAGCAAAATAACATAGTTTAACATAAAACAATGTAATAAATATGTTCAGTTATTTATAGAAAATCGAATCTCATCTCATATTATTAAATTGCTAAAAAGTATAACAAATAAGAAAAACAAGTCAGTCTTTTTAATTTTATAATAGACTCGAATCCTATTTATTGCTGATGGAATATTCTCTTGTTACTCTTGTATCTTCAATACAAATCTTGTCTTTGTACAGTTATATATCTGTGTTGTCAATTATAAACAAATGAAGAAAAAAAACAAGCTTCTCGTTTTCTTTTAATAGTAGAATAGATCGAAGAGTATACCACTATTCTATCTTTGAACAATCATGTCTTTACTTAAAGTCACCAATACGTGATTTCTACAATGCTTTATCAAAAATTATAGTTTTATATTGAAAGATTACGGTTTCATGAACATCATTGATCAATAAAATCTATGTTAATTAATGATAGCATGCCAACAATACAAACGGTAGTTTGTGAGTGTATTTGTCGCGGCAAATTTTTCCTCTAACAATATTATCTACAACACAAGCAACAATTTCCTTAGTGTTTTTTTTTCTTCCATTGATCAATTTATGAATTAAATAGGAACAGTTATCATCACAAAATCGTTTTTTTTATGATAACATATTCTGATAAATTATGAAAAGTCCACAACAAAAAACATCTTATTGTGACTATTGCAATAAGCACTGATGCTAGAAATTATATATTTTCAATCGAAAAAACAAACATTAATCCAATAAAAAAAAATGCATAGAATTGTTAAACTTGTGATTGATTGAGGTCCTGCTGATCGAGCATAGAATCGGACGATTGTTATGATCATCCAATGACTCTATTTCTGATTGTTTCTTTGTCATTGATTCATGATTTATTTTTAAAAGTATTCATAAAAGTAGTATGACAGATGTTATCTATTGCGCAAAAAGAATATGTCAAAGAATTTTATTCTATTAGAGAAAATACAATTCTTGTTTAAGGTACAATTATCTTACAATTACAAATAAATACTTCATTTTTTACCTTTTTATTATATCAATCCTATTAGAAATAACTTTGAAAAAAAACCCACAATACAGTCAGAACTACATGAGCATACGAAATAACTTGCTGCATAAAAGTTTAATTGATGTCATATGACGAAAAAGTATTTATGACAACATGTTAGAACTATAATTAAAATATTGATATTATTCAAAGTATATTGAATCAGTAATCTCGTGAAGTTTGAGCAAAAACTCAATGAGATTTCGTCGAATTTAATAATATTTTCGTTTTCTAAATGAAGTTCCCTACTATGTTTATATTATTTAATTAAGAGACTGGAAAATCAACTGTTACAGTCATTTGTTCATTTGATTATATGTGAAATATCTTTTATTGAGTTTACATTTCTATGTTCGATCCATAAGCAAGTTGATGCACTGTTTTATTTCGACATGCTCGATAGATTTATAATATCGAGCCATTCTGCAAAGCCTAAAACTACAAAAAACTTTGGAACTAATAGAAGAACTACAGCATGTTTCTGAGCGATTCAACTAATTGAAACTAATATATATCGAAGAAAAAATACGATAGAATCCAATTAGATATACTACGAAACTAGAACTTATGTACATTTCTCACTAGTTTCGAACATCATATTATTGACGAAATACGTATGTATCTTGAAGAATGTGTTTTGATTAGGTCGAAATTTTTTTTCTATCTTTCTTTTTTTGTATAAAATATTTTATTTTCACTTACAGCAAAAGATAGTTACAGAAATATCTCTATTTGATTGATTGATTTAGATATTGGATATTTCTTGTTATAAAAAGTCTTTATTATCTCATGTATGTATTTATTAATCTATATAGACTTCTAGAAAACAAAATATCTTCCGTCACTCTATCATATAGGTTTAATAGTTCGCTGAGGGTGGACGAGGGTATGTAAGCGTGGATGTAATATTTGTTTGACATCGATGGTATCCATGTCACTGTGCATAGGATTCTAAGACAGTTAATACCTTCGAAATTATAATCGATCGCAAAGGCATAGACCAGCAGATCAAGAAAGGAAAACCTCGTCTCCTATTTGGTAATATTATCAGATTGTCTTATAAAAGTTTAGAGATTACCCGACTTTCTACGCTGCTTTGTTGATCCGTTTCATGGACAACAGAAGTGCATAGAAATTCAACAACAAAAGAGATCAGTAAGTGTAGCTTTGACCAGACAATTAACGGCTGTTCACAAACTGCATTAATAACCAAAAAGTGTGTAACATTTTAGCAACCTACTGATATAATCATATCGATTGTACTGATACACTCCAATTTTTAGGAAGAATTTCAGAGAAACTCAAGGTCTTACTTTTTTTACATGACCGTGCCATCACCATAACTAAACATCATCAATTTAGTTGATTGTCTTTGCAGATCTACAGTTTACGATTGAGTGCGAATCTATACTTTAATCTCATTGAACAATAAAAAAGCTAAAAGACACATTATGAGGCATGATTTCGTGTACTGATTTCGAATATATCATTACATTCTTCTATAAGTGCTTCGAAAACATATATTTCAATTGAGAAGCATCTGTGCATACATAAAACACTGAAAAAATAAAAGGTATCCTACGAAGAATCAGTGTACGAACATGGACAATTGTCAGATATCGCACTAATACACACAATTTAATTTTCGGAACTCAGGGTCATGATTGTGACCATGGATGACCGTGGTCAAAAAGGACTGGCCATGTCGATGTCTAGCTACCCCACCTTTCGATGCTGTATTCATTGACTGAAAGAGATGATCCAATCAATTTTCTTTCTTTTTCTCTCGTTATGCGATAAACAATTACGAAACTTACGAAACTATACTTCATTTGAACAAGCACGCTGTATTTCTACTCGTTGTGCAATTATGGCCAGCAGTTACTAATATCCAATAGTATGGGACATTGTGATGGGACTTTTAAGATATAGCTATTCTTGAAGGTCATTGCTAGAATTTACAGCATAGTCAGGAGGGCTCTCCACATCTCCATTAGCTTATTTGCAATCTCCTAGCTATTGTCCATCAGAATCGCGACATCGGCTATGTTCATAATGTTTCACAGCAAAGTTTTAGATTTTTAGATAACTTTAGAGACGCATTATAGCGGAGATGACATTGATATAATATATAAAATCTCAATAGAATTTAATAGTTAAATGTATTTTTTTTTCATTGTATTTCCATTACAGATTTATCAAAAGTATCTATGGAAACAATTTTATCGTCCATTAAAAAAGAACTTCAATTAAATGATGATCATATAACAAATATTTATAATTTTGGTTCATGGGTTTATGGTACTAATCATGAAAAATCAGATCGTGATTTTCTTATTGTAATGAAAATTGAAAATAGTAAGAAAAGTAAACGTTTAAAATTTCGAAGAGATTTTGATTATTTTCATTCATTTGAATTAAAACGATTAAAAAATTGTGATGTAACAATTCATACATGTGAAAATTTTGAAATATTATTAGAAAAAAATTATATGTTAGCTGTTGAATGTTTATTTTATCCAAATGAATTTATTTTAAGAAATAATATTGATTATAAAACAATATATTTATCAAAATATTATAATCCATTAAGATTAAAACAAGTTATATTTTATGAAAATAATGATAGTTTTAAATATATAATTGATAACGATGACAATGATTCAATTTGTTCTCAGTCAAAATCTTATACTAATCCAACTATTGATCAATTTTTATGTGATGCTATTCATACGACAACTATCGATGAAGATCGACTATTGAAATATTTATTTCATGGTTTAAGATATTTAGATATAGGTGAACAATTAATTCGAACAAAATCAATAGATGATTTTAAACGTGTAACATATGTACTATATGAAATGAAAGATATATATATAAATAATAATAAAAATATTGATTTTGTTATTGATTATATTAGAATGAAAAGTGATGAATATAAAACAATAATTAATGAACTCGTACCAACAAATATTATTGATGATACATTTGAAGTTCATATTACTGTTGAAAATTGTAATATGAAAGAGTTTTTAAATATCTGTAAAATAAATAAATTAAAACCTATTTTTCTTCATTTAATTAATGGTAATAATATCAAACAGTTAATAACATCATTATATCATGTTGGAACATATCCTAATATTATTGAACAAATTAAAACATTAGCTGATACAAAATTTAGAAATTTTAATATTATAAGATTAAAAATCGAATCATTAGCATGTAAGGATGGTGTACCAGAAAATGATATTGATAAATTATTATTTTGGAATAAAAAATCCAATTATTTTGAATTTCGTTATGAAATATTTGTAAAATCGACAATGGAATTTAAAAAATTGAAACAATTATGTTTATATAGAGATTTGCAGTTAGCACAAAATGTATTCGAAAAATCATCAATTGATGAAATGAATTTTATTGTTATGATGAGATTATTTAATGTTGGTAGAATAAATGCAATTAACAGAAATGATGATTTCATTCGATATTTGACGGAAAATAATTTTCTTCCATCAAAAATCGACAGGAAATTTATAGTTTATGATTCAAATATTGATTTGGATAATAGATCAACTCATGTTATATCCAATGTGTCAAGTTCATGTTCAACTATCTCCAGTAATGGTCCTAAATATCGAATCGGTTTTAAAAATCGAAAAGTATTTAGTCGATCCACCGATTGATAGATCAAATCTTCACAATTTTTTTCTTATCGAACAGGTTTTATTTTCTAGGAAAACAAGAGAAATGTGATTATTCTAAGATATATTATGAAGAATACTCATTTTCAGCAGTAAAACTAATAAGTCATACTGAGTAGTTTCGGTTTTTCTTCTTATCGATCAAAAGTTGAATATTATCACTTGAAGAAATATAGCAGTTTTAAAAAATAATATTTTTGTATAGAAGCATTTCGGAGTTTTTTTTTAAATTTCATTAAGAATATGGTTGGATGAGTGATTAGATCAGAATAAGCATCAAATATACTCATACTATAAACTATTACGATTCACATACTTCATGAACTTTAGAAGCAAAGAATGTTTGAACAAAACTATTTTATTCTTACTTTGTTATTCTATTGATTTAACCGAATTCGATTCGGATATCAGATCAACGATAACCAAAAGTCAGTTCAATTATCAAAGCTTACAACAACACTCGATGCCTAGTAAAGTTTTTCGTACAAATAATCATATTACTCGGTGTGATATTATAGATTGCTCATCGTCTTGTCCTATTTTAGATTTTTAATTCATGGTGTATCCGTCGAGATCTCTAGATTCGAAATGTGGATGAATCAGTGTATATGCCGTTTTTATCTACTCCCATACAAACACACATCCTATTTTGATTTTTTCAGTATATTTCTATAACCAATATTAAACATCGTTAAATCATATAAAGATTTTTTAATTTATAATGAAATATTAATCTGATTGTCGAATATGTCTATTTGGTTAATTAACAATAAAAAGTATAAATTTAAGACAAGCAATTCGAATAACGTTCAACTTTAAATAAATATGTTTGCTAATGAGAATTGGTTTTTTTTTACTGTCAAATGCAATATTATTCAAAATTTGAAGTATAACAGAGATCTAAGATATACTATTCGTTAGAAGAAGTTAATTAATACAAGAAGAACTCTTATGTATATAACTGCTAGAAAACACAAGTTATTAGATTTATATCTTTACATTCTAAAAAAAACTTTTATATAAAAAAACAATAATGTATCAATTTTGTTCTTATGTATCAATATCAATTTTTATATCGTTATTTTGACCATGTGTCCATATTCTTTCACCAATATTACTTAATTGAACAAATTTCTCTTTTATCCATGTCCAATCAATATCTTGTAAATTTAATTGATTCACTTGAAAATTAGAACATCGTGTAGGAAAAATTGAAAGTGATTGAAGACGAATTGATTTTAATTTTTCATTTTGTGATGATATTGATAGATGTAATTGAAAAAGTGCACCAAGATCATTTCGATATTCTTGATCAATAGCATAATCATCAACAAAATCACCACAACCATATATAATTAAACCATGAGTTCCATTTTGACGTTGAACAATTTCTATACCTTGTAGATGATGACTTGAATGTCCATGTATAAGATCAACTCCTTGATGAATCATCCAATGAGCAAGTTCTTGAATTTTTTTATCTGGTATCCATTGATAATTGGGACCCCAATGAACAGAAAATATCACGAAATCAGAATTCAAACGAGCATTTGTAATAAGAGGTTCAAGTTGAGTATAAAGTAATGGAAGATCATAATAAGTTAGAAGATGAAATGACGGAACAGAAGACCAATCTGATGGATGATCAGATGCTGAAAGTAAACCAATTCTAAGTGATGTAGAAGAACGAGGTGCTGCACTATTGATTGATATAGGTTTTAATTTTTCAACAATGGGTGAAACTGTTATAGGAACATCAATAAAAACTGGACCAAGAGCATGTTCACGTGTTTTACCAGCACCTATTTATAAACAACGAGACAAAATGTTTAAAATACAAATAACGAAAATTTAAAAATGACTAACCAACATATGATATACCAGATTTATCTAAACTTTCACATGTTTCTTCAAGTCCTTTTATTTCAAAATCTAATGTATGATTATTAGCAAGAGAAACATGATGAATATTTGCTATTGTTAAGCATGCAATATTTGCAGGATGAGTACGATAACTAAAACAAAAACATTTTTTTCAAATTATAATATCATACGAACAACATACTTGAAAACTTTACCAGGCCATAGTTTATCATGAGTAGTTACAGTTGTTTCCAAATTAATAATATTTAAATTTCCCTATTCAATGATAATTATTATTTTCTTTTTTTTTTTTGAAAATATTCATAAGATATATTTTACCATTTTCCACAATGGAATTGTATTTCCCCAAACAGTCGCATAATTATATTTATCTTCTTGTAAATAAGGAAAATATGAACGTCGAGATAATCGAAATGGACGAACAATAGACGCTTCTTCAGGATTATAAACAGAAGTTGGAAGTAATTGATCAATTAAACGACCTTCAAATAGAATTCATAGAGAAGTAACAAAAACATAAATAATTAAATTTCAAAATTTTACCAATCATAACATCACCAGCTAAATTAATAATAATATTTCCTTGTTGATTTGTTGCCATTGTAGATGTGTGTGAAGTACAAAAATGTTTGAAAGTAAAAATTGATGTTACTTGAAATAAACGATTAAGATTAAATATAGAAGAAATACGAGTCATATATCATCTTCAAAATTATATCAGCTAATAGACAAAGATTTCTTTGTTAATATGTAGCAAATCTTATTAATTGCTGTTATATTTCTATCTCGACGAATAAAATTGATAGTGAATTCAACATCTGTCAGAGGTTTTGACTGATGAGTGATACAACAAAAGTGATTGTTCATCTTTTTATTGTTCCCGGGTGCATTTGACGATAATGATATCATTTGTTAATTAGCTTTTTCGTTTTTATTTTTATCTCTCTCTATTCTATATTAGCTGCTACTTCTACAGTTTTTCATTATAGAATATCAACGTATGTGTATAAGAATTTCAGCATATTTAGCGTTCAAAGTTATTCTTCTTTAATATAAGTTATTTTATCACAAAATTATATGTTTGATACATAGTTGATAATAAAAATAAATTTTAATCGAATAAAGTATTAATATGTTGAGTTTAAAATTGTTTCCCGATTTTTATACTGTATTTCGTATTACAACACGTACAGTTTATCTATAATAGTAACAATAATGAGAAAAGTCTAGTAGTACTAGCCGATCTATATCTCAAAAAGAGACATAATTACAAATTAAATATGAAACTGTAGCATCAAGTGCACGATGAGATCGATCGTTCTATATAAGAAATAACATAACATATTTTATCAGTAATCAAACTTTCTATCTGAATATTAGAAAGACAGTGGTTAAGTGAATGAACTTAAGTTTTTTATACTTGAGATGTATAGTCATGTATTTGACATATAAAATTTTTGTTTGTTATACATACCATGTCAAATCACAAATAGACAATACAATGAAGAATCCAAAGAAGTTCTTCAGATTCTTGAAGAAACTATTGTTTCATAAAGTTTCACACAGATTAGTAGTTCTTTTCAGTTTATAAAAAATATTCATAGGGCTCTTTTATATCCTCGATATTATACAGTTTATAAAGATTAATATGTACATGTGGGTTAACCGATTTATGAATATCAACAGAAAGCATAGAAATTATCGCATGACCTTTAATTCTTTACTAATGTATTGTAAAGTATACACGCAAATGTAAATAAATCCATAGCCTATGAGAGAATTAAGTGAGCTTATAAAAATCGATTGCATCTATTTATTATTATTTTTTTTTGTGAAAGAAAAAAAATTTATAGAATATCTTCATGTAGTAATCATTCAATAGAATTAAATGATAATCATAGATATGAATGACAGGACCGACACAAGAATTGTTGTTAAGCAAGATCTATAACATTGTTCATATATCAAAAGAATATTTTATTATTCGACTAACCCGAGCATTGATGAACTTGCTAAAATTATAAATAAAAATGAAATATAGTATTAGAAAAATAAGATATTTCATAATTACCTATTGGTGTATGTGCACAAGGTCGATTGTCAATTAATTCAAACATTTGTACTCGATTATTTTCCATATCCATAACATAAAGATTTCCTTTCATATCAAATGCTAAATCAGCTGGTTTATATAATTGATTAGTTGCATTACCGGCACCTTTCAGTTAACAAAAAAAAAACAAAAGAACAGACACAAGATAAATGTCAATATTAATCAATCGTTATATTGTAAATATAAATAATATTAAAAAAAAACATACCTTGGTCACCAGCTATTGTATCACCTTGAGATGCAAATGGTCTCCATCGTTGAACTCGATGATTTGATGTATCAATAACATAAACAACATTTGTTTCTTCATCAACAATAACATCATTCGGAAAATTTAAAGTTTCAGGATCATGACCTTGAGTTCCTTGACTCGAACCAGCTACTGTAGTTCCTTCACGTGAATCTTGTGTCCAATTTTGAATTCGACTATTCCACATATCAGCTACATAAATGATATTTCCATCTCTAGTCACATAGATTCCTTGAGGATGATCAAGTAGACCACTTGTTGATCCATTAGCATCGGTCTTTCCAGCGACAACAATTGTCATATTTGTTCGAGGTGACCATTTAATAACACGATGTCTATTTGATTCTGACATATAAACATATTTTTCTTTGTCAACTGATACACCTGAACATAATTGACATTCATCACCAACTTGAACACCTTTTGTTGCTTCATTGATCCATTTTTCAACACGATTTTTAAATCGTAGTGAAACATAAACAGTTGGTCCACTAGTATCATCATCGACATAGACTTTCATTGGATTTTCTATATTAGATGCGACTGTAATACCCATCTTTGATGGATCATTGAGTGCAAATCTTTGAACACGATTATTATAAAAATCAGCAACATATAATTCATTTCTTTCTTTATGAATGAAAATTCCTTTTGCTGAATTAATTTGATAACTAGAATTACCAGCTTCACCAGTTCCAGCTACTGTTGCACCTGTTGTATTCCATTTTGCACAAGGACTAATTGTACTTGATACGATAGATAAACAAAAACATAAGATGAATGCTTGAATAAAAACAAATACGATGTTTTTCAATATACACATTTTGCCTAACTAATGAATATGCATTATCATATTTACGTAGAATATGAAAGTTGCAGAGTAATGCATACACAATAAAAAAGAAAAAAAAATACTGACTTTAAAAGATAAGGCATATCTATATCTATATGACATTAATAATAAATATTAGAAAGATTGTTTATTTTCCTATGTTATATAATATTTAGTTGAATATGTCATTGATGGAAATACACACATCAAACTTGAATATCCATCAATTATGAACTACTCGATATATAACAAGAATGTATTAGAAAAAATAATCGAAGTTTTTTTTAATTTACGATTATAAATAAATTTTTCTACATTTGCTAATGAAAAAGTTTTTTCATTTAATAGACGAGTTTACATCTAACAAAATAGCTCATAGTTGATAAACAATATTTTTATGTGGGGAATGTTTTGTCTTTTCTTTGAATTCATTAGTCATTCGCTTCTTGACTGTGACTATCAGAGATGCCAACAGGCCACTTTTTTCCGGCCTGGCCTGGCCTGGCCTGACCTAGCCTACAGACCAGGCCAAAAATCAAAGAGTGGCCTGCGGCCTGGCCTGGCCTGACTTGCAGGCCAATTGATGTTTCTGATTTTTCAAATCCATTAAATTCTATAACTCTGCATTAATGCATGATTCCAATTTCAATTATTTATTTAATTTATTTTCATGAAGATAATGAAATAACAAGTTTTTCCACAAAATAGCAAATTAAAACAAAGAGACAATCATCTTGAATATATTTCATACAAGAAAGACTTGAATTTACCAGATTTTTTGATGATATCAGTACTTCTTCGCATAATCGAAAGATATTTAAGCATAATAACAAAAACAACATATGATTCGGGATACGACGAAGAATTAAAAGAAAATACAAATCCAAAAATAGACCAATATGAGCCAACAGGAGATGATTTATTATTATCAACAATATCGTATTGTTGTTTTTCATGTTTTAATAAATAACATATTCGTTCACTAGAATATGATAACGAATTTGACGAAGAAGAAAATGTTGAAACATTTGTATTTGATGATGTAGTAGTAGATCAAACAGGAGAGATTAATAAGATATGAATATCATCAATTGACATTGAAGAAATAGATGAAGTAGAAGATGTTGATAAACGATGAATATGTTCAGTTGACATTGTTTATTTAAGTTGTTGCCAATAAAAAGAAATGTAAAAAGAAATGTGTTTTGTCTTTCAATTAAACAAAATCATTGTTTGCTTTATTTTCGCTGAAATAAATCAACCATAAATATTGTCTCCTCTCCTTTATTCATTCAATTCATTTACTCTTGTGGTCTATACTATTCGCCAATTATGAATGACGAAGTTAAAAGTGAACAAAATCATCAACTCGTGGTGTCATCTCATGTTTTAAGATGACTACTAGAGAAATGAATATCATTTCGCAGCCAGGCCACCCATTTTGGCCTGGCCTGGTAACCAGGCCGGACATTAGATGGACGGATCAGGCCAGGCCAAAATTTTAAAATTCAGCCTGGCCAGGTGGCCTGACCTGGCAGGCCACCCGGCGCCTGCCAGGCAGCAGGCCAGGCCGGCAGCTCTGGTGACTATCATATTTAGTGATTCTACTGTGAAGTGATGCAGTGAGTATGACTATGGATGTTGATCTAGATGTTCTCTTCACATAACCACTCACATATACATATTCTACCCGTTATTTTAAGAATGAAACATTTAAATCTTTAGTGACATTTGCCACGCAGAAGTAGATAAATGATTTACTTCATTATTGTATGGTGAGCGCAGCGATACTTGATTAGTACTGAAATCAGAGGCAAACCACAATTGACTGAATTTTGATACAAAAGTTTCAGTGAGCTTTACTAAATTAATCTCTATTTATTTATTTATTTATATACATTTAATTAATAGTACAAGTATATGTTAATGAAGATTTGCAAATAATTTTATTAATAATTTTAGTTAAATAATTATTCATCAAATTCAAATATATTGCCGAATTTTTTCTCGTAAGTATTGTCGCAGTTCACGGTCGTATAAAGACAGATCGATAATATCTGCCAGCAAGCACAATGTAGCAACAACTGAAAATATTGACAAAATAAAGATTGAATCGCGTAGAACTAAGATCAAGTAGACCGGTGTCCATCCACTCACAAATATGCAAAACATGAAGATCATCTGTCGAAGTAGATGTAAATCACGACGACTGATTTTCGGTTGTTGAGCGTTGCCAGTATTTACTTGTGACGATACAGATTGTAGTTGAATACGTCGAGTTGAAGATCGAGCATATGCAAATATGAGAAAATTGATGATAAGACAGATGAATGACGGCACTATGACGATCATAATCAATGCATAAATGTTCATCCATGGTCGAAAAGAACAATACTAGAAATGAACATTACATAAATAACATTTCAAATGTCTAGTTTTTGCCAAAGAGTCATATATATACATGTATGTGGTTGATCTTATACTAACAAATATTTCATAAAATTTTAAAATCAGAGTTTCAATCACGTATAACACAAAAATTTGGGCAATCCAAAGTTTCGTCAATACGACTTTTGCCAATTAGTGAATGTCCTGGGGATATATAGACGAAAGTCTTGACAGTGCATTGGCGGTTGTTCATATAACTTTCGCCAATAGCGAAAGACCGGTTGAACAAGTCTTTTTCTTGAAAAGTCGTTCATTAGTTGCATGAAACAAGAGAAAATCATTAAAAACGCCTTGTTTCTCTTTCAATCGAGAGTGCCAATGGCATGTGTATGAGAGAAACAGAAAAACAGTAAAAAATCACTTTCTTGATTTTTCACAGGCTTCATATCCTGCCCATTGAACAAAGCAACGACATTCATCACCACATACATAATGTGTCGAACTAGCTTTGCAAGTACCACCACACTTGTCACCAGATTGATGAATGTTTAGACTAGAAAAAGAAAATGAGAATGTTGATACTTTGTGATGTAAAGATAATGCTGTCACTGAAGTGTTTATGATTACCTACTTCAAGCTAATCATAGCTTCACTAGTTAATGTTACCATGAAAAATAAAACCACAAAATATAAGATTATCTTTATATTCATTTTCTAGATTCTTTTCTTTTCTTTTCTTATTAGTTCTAAAATTTAATGACAAAACGTCCTTGGCATATATTTAAATAGAAGAATACAGACATATTCTATAAAAAAATGCTTTAGATATTTATTTGCTTTTGTCCTATACGAACTACAAGTATTGTGTGTTTTGATTCGCATGACTCTACAACACTTGAGCAACTCAATATTGTTCGTCGCATAAAAAAAAGTCACTACGCAGCAAATAAATTTTTCAATTTAAATCCAGAACAAAATAAATATATTCCTAATTTTGTAGGTTTACCTATTCGATTACAATCCATGATAATTGTATTCGTTTTGAATGATCTTCGGCTTACTGTTTTAAGAAAGTTTCTCTGAAAAGATGTTATATGTGGCAGTTATCATTGTAAATTATATATATTGAAAAAATGACTGCGCTATCATATCGATTGAGATGTCGTATAAATCGAGCAAACACATTGTTTTTGTATGATGTTCATCTATCGAAAAAGTAAATTCTGCGTAATAAAAAGACATTCATTTTCATCGAATATTTCACAAAGCAATATGCAATCATTAGAAAATGATGCTCTTAAACAAATCTTGCTGTAGAATAGCTGAAAAATAACTTTGTTTTATTGTGGTCTATTTTGTCGATAATACTAAACTAGACATCAATCAGTGTTAACTCATATGATTTTTCGTCCAAAGACATTCATAAATGCAAATTCAAACATTTGTAAAATGTGTGATGATGTATAAATTTTGATTTTAAGAGGAGGCGTTGAACATAATCATGATTAAAATCATAAAATTTACTCATTTCATTTCAGCATTATTCATTAGTGAATTTTAATTCTCTCAAAAAATACATCTGTAGTTTTGACGACATTTTTCTTTCGAATTTATCTTTAGTCAATAACGAACCATCTTTAAATATACGAAGATAATATAATCGACTAATTTGTCTTTTCTTCCAATAACGGGTCGGCAAGATGGTGATACTAATACATTATGTAAAAGACAAATAATTGTGTACTGTAAGAATCATGTTATTGTTCTCTAATACATATTACTTATAGTCACAAACATGTATTTCTTCGATATCAAATAGAATAAATAAATTCAAAAGAATCCACAACCCTACAGAAAATTTTGATCACTTTATTCATTTCTATTCTAATATATATACAATACTATTTTTGAATAACCTATAAAATGCAATAAATCCACCGCGACATTCAGAATCTTTGATATGCTCTACCAGCCAGACCAGTAAGGTGTATAGAGTGACATTCATCCGGAGGGAGAATCATATTTGTAAATGAATATATAATTTTACTACAGATACACGCACTTCATTTTCTAATCACTTTGACCATACATTAATCTGTTTGATCTCCGAAAACAGAGTACTGAATGTAGATAAGGATTTGCGCAAATCATGTAGAAATATCCAAGAAAAGATCAGAAAAACTCACTATTCGAAATCAAAAATTGGTGATCAAAAGTACGTTTTCTCCAATTTATATTTGAAAATTTTTCATTTTTATTGATAACTACTTAATCAAGATAGTTTCATTTCACTAGTGACAATCCTTTTCTAAATCGGACTCTTGTGGTAAGAAATAATATCGCTGAAGTCATAACCTTAATAACCAATATTAAATAAAATGTTTTGAGAAAAGCAAGAAAAAAAAAACATGATTGTAATCATTTACATATATATTAATATCAAATAAATGCATCTATTCAAACATATATTGATTAAATCTAACCAAACAAAAGCTATGTTACATACGTGTATAAAAAATCAATAAAATATTTGAATGTTGATGTAACAGAACAAATAAAAATTTAGTTTATGTTCTATGTGCAAATTTTGAATCATTTTTTTGATCATGATCAGAAAAACATCTTAAAGCTCTAGCTCTCTTTTATTTATATGAAATCAGAAAATAAAAAATAATACTAAAAGATAATCTTTTGATTACTTTCAATAATTTACGAATGCGTCAATATCTAAGTTGTGGTTACAAAGATGACATTTCATAGTATTGAGAATCTCTTGTCCTGTTAAAAGGAAAAGTTTACGAATTAGGTATCATCAGACAAGGCTTTGAAAGTTGATTATGGTTGAAATGAACTATTGACATAAATCTGTTAGTTATCATTACCACAAAATATGAACTAAGATAGACAATAAATTACTTTCAACATTCGTAAAATCAAATATTAACGATTCTTTTGAATTAATAAAAACCAAAAATTTAATTGGGCTATAAAATTTTCAAGATGAATAAAAAAAATCTTTGAAATATTTATTTCTCATATTAGTTGTATGATTTTATTATTTAATCCTATTTAAAAAGTTCTCCTACATATAAACAATCGAAGCTAATTACTAGATCTATTCGGATCTGTCGTTAAACTTGCAATTCTTTAGAGTTTACCTTTTAAATTAAATTTCGGTTGATTTTTTATAAAACGAAAGGTGAAGGTTATCCTCGTAAAAAGTCAATCAGACTTTCTCTCATCAAATAGATTATTATCGGGCAAATCTGTTACGATAAGAGTCTCAGCCTAATATAAATGATAAGAGAGAATAATTATTTAAAGATCGTTTGCATATATTGACACAAGTTATTCTTCATATTCTGAAAATTCTTTGCATATTTTAGATCCTAATTCTATTGATACAAAATATCAACATATTACAATGTCGTTACCACTCATTTCTCCAGTATCATCAAATACGAACGATGAATTAGCGGAATTAATTACTTTGTTCAGTCAGATATTAGGTTTTTGTCCAAACAGTATATTGACTATGCAACATCGGCCAGTCATTGTAATCGCTTTTATGCAATTAAATAAAGCAGTGATGACTAATCATGGTCGTGTAACTACTGATTTAAAATTTCTTATTGGTTATGTTTCTAGTTCAAAAGCAGACTGTCGATATTGTCAATGACATACTATCTTAACAGCTGAACGTTATGGAGCTACTTCAGAAAAATTGGCATACATTTCCGAATATTCTACTTATTCTACTTTCAATGATGCCGAACGAGCAGCTCTTGATTTTGTTGTAGTTGGCTCGACAGTACCTAATGCTGTAAACAGTTCGATTATTGAATATCTACATAAATATTGGAATGATGGTGAAATTGTTGAAATTTTAGATGTAATCAGTTTCTTTGGATATCTTAATCGATGAAAGGATTCAATGGGGGCTATAATAGAACTAGAAGCTATAAATGCAGGTGAGAAGTATTTAGAGAAAAATGCGTGGTCCCCTAGAAAACATACAGAAACGAAACATTCATCTTAAAATAGTCTCAACATTTAACAAATGATTCAGAACATTTATTAAATAGATATTTATTTAAATTTTAGTTTTTATCAAAGAAAATTTTTGTTTCCAACTTATCTTCGATATTATTTACATATTCATAGTTTTTCATTTTATTTTGTTTAAACGATCGATTTCGATTTGGCTCTATAGAAAAAAAAAAGTATTTTAAAAGAAAAAGCAAAATAACAATATTTAAAAATTAGTTTGCTCAATAGGAAGATTGTGTACTGCATATGAATAGTTAACAACAATATTTAAATTTCGATATAGGATTGCATCTTTTCATGGTTTGTATCTTTTTCAAAATCTATTTGAATTAATTAAATTTATTCCTAGAATGGATCATAATATTTGTTTGTAATATTTCATTATTATTTTCATTTTTAAATTCAAAGAATGCCTCAGCCATATTGACAATAAGAAAATGATTATTGAATTCGACATACATTTCTAATCTATTCAGTAAATTAAAATTTTTTTTTTTATTACTTTTTATCTAATGAAAAATTAGTATGATCTCATATGTAGAATTATGGAATGTTACAATCTCAATCGGCAGAATTCTCAACGAACAAAATTGCCAAGGGAAAAATATTGAAAGAAGATGACACCAAGAAATCAAAATCTCGAAAGTGCAGAAATATAAGTTACATTGAACAAATCTATTTTTTTTCTTAATATGGAAATACAATTTGTACAAATATTTGAAATATACAAAACGTCTTAGCCATTTGTTTGCTGGTGTTTAATCGTATTTTCTTCGATTACGGAAATATTTTTCAAAGAAATTAGCTTTCAATCGATGAACAACGTAACAATCGTTGAAATAAAATACACAATTTATAAATCATATTACTTACCAAGTTGATAATAATAATGCTCATTTACAGATTGATAAACATAAAAATGAAATATCAAGATTTTTTTTACATCGATAAAAAAATTTTATGGAAATAAATTTAGTTGCTATTTTGATATATGCACTGTTTCTTGATTTTTATGTTTCTTTATCTTTTATTTAATTTAAACTAAACTGAATATCATAGAATATTTATTCTACTATCTAGTTGATAATAAAATTCTTCGAAACAAAAAAATGCGATTGTCTTATGAGTTTTTAGAACTATGTATTCAAACAAAGGGGAATAATAGACGATTATTTTGTTACAAATATTTTTCTCTATTTGCATCGTATTACAGCCACATCTAAAGAAAAACATTCCTTAAATGAATAAAAAATCGTTGATTGTTTTAATAATATAGCAGCAAATGATGTTACGCAAAACCAGTCAACCGACATCTGTATAACCATGTTTTATATTTCTTTTGAACTGATCACGTGATTGTTTTCATGACTGGCATTATTAAACACAAAATTAGAAACATTTCTGCAACATAATATTGCACACCTTGCATGTTGTTACAACTACAATATGAATTCCTTTTTGCCACTTGATACAATACCGATCACATCCATTAGCATTCTGTACATGCTTGAGAATTTCGTTTATGTTAAAGTAAGTGTTAAGTGCAAAGCTAAAAAAACAAAAATTATAGATTCTAGTAGAAGAAAACATGACAAACATTAACAACAATCAGTCCACTTACTTACTTAAACAGTGAATAAAAGAAAATATATTCAGATTAGTTTTTGTGTTTGTTGTGTTGCATTTTTTTGATAATATACATTGAGATGCAGTGAGTATTTGAATCTTGGTGAACGACAACGCCATTCTTTCCTATATTCGACGTGATACCTATATTATCCAGAACGTAAGTTAATGACTAAATAATAGTATAACAGCCATGTTAATGCTATATGTATTTGAAAAAAAAACAATTGAGCGATTCAATTAACAATTTATTCAAACAAAAAAGTCTCCCTGCTTGAAATATAAGCAAAAACTCTATACAACAAACTTTTTGATGTCTCGAAATCTTCCTTGAAGTCTTTGTTCAAAAAATTCTTTGACTTCCTTTTTTGAAGATAAAACCAAATCAATCTGCTTTTGGGAACATAAAACACAGTTCAATTTTGTTAGAAATGATAATATTGATTATTAGTATTATTGTTCTATATTGAACTCGCGTTTTATTTTTTTCTTTAAAAGGATCAAATAATAAATCGTCCATTAATGGCTCAACATATGCAAGTCAATCTATTTCCTGATTATCATAATGAAGTTCAAAATTTGACACCTCGTTCCATACATGTTGATGTTAAGCATTTGCATGATGCTAAAAGTGTTCGGTTCGTAGGCTATTATATATTTTCATGTGTAAAACTTTTCATTTCATATAGAGGATTTGGCCCAATCAAATGTCTTCTTGGTATACTCATAACATGTCTTCTTGTAGGAGTCATAGGTATACCTTTTATCATCACACAAAAATTGATAACAACAACAACAAGCACTACTTCTACCTCAACAACATCAACTACTACCACATCAACAACATCGACTACTACCACATCAACGACGACAACAACTACTACAACAACTACCACAACAACTACTACAACAACTACCACAACAACAACGACAACAACAACAACATCAACAACAATAACATCAACAACAACAACAACCTCAACTACTACTAGCGAAACAACAACAACAAGTAATTTAAGATCATATTAAAAACTAAGATTTATGACACAATATAATATTTGAATTCTAGCAACAGAACCATGTGCTTCTGGTTATTCAAGATCTCCATCAGGAACATGTGTTAATCTTCAAATTGATTTCAACAATTGTGGTTCATTTGGTTATGTATGTGCTTCATCTTATACTAGTTGTTCAGCAGGTGTATGTAGTAGTGCACCTGCTGTACAACTTGTTGGTGCTATTGCTATACCAGGATGGGGTGGTCAATATTCAGTAGATGATGCTTATGTTACACTTACTCTACCAATGAGTTTAACAATGTATGGTTATTCAACATCAACTATATCTGTTACAACTAATGGTGTAAGTTTTTGAAAAAATGGAAAATACATTTTGAAAAATATATTTTGTATGAAGGGAATGTCATTCGTATTTAGGTTCTTTGTCTTGGTAGTTGTTCTTCTGATTATACAAATGGAAATCTTCCAAGTAGTAGTTTCGGAGGACCAACCGCATTTGGTTATTGGGATGATCTTATGATTTATTCTGGTACATCTCAAAGTGTATATTATAGTGTTGCTGGAACAGCACCTAATCGATTAGCAACATTTGAATATTATACAAGTCATTATGGTCAATCAACTCAATATTATCATTTTCAAATATTATTTTATGAAAATTTTCCTGGTATTGTCAAGTATATTTATTTTCAAGCATCTGATGGAGGTTCATCAGCTACAATTGGTGTACAAAGTAAATGAGATTCTTCCGTTAATTTTTTTTGTGTTATTGTGAATAATAACATTTCGCTTGAATTCTAGGTTCATCAAGTGGATCTACTATGACTTATTCAGTGAATCAAGCAAATTCAGTGACAAGTAATATGGTATTAACTTTTGATACAAATGCGGGTACGTTTTCAGGATAGATGACAATCAAGAGATTGACTTCATGCCTAATGAACATTGTACTATATGCCTGATACTTGTTTGTCTGTTGAATCTCGTTAGTTTCTTTTTTCTACTCTTACATTTTTTTTCACATATGCATAAAAATATGATGATAATAAAATGTTGATATAAAACATTTTCTTCCGTTTTATTTTAATTCCTTTAAACAAACCTCTTATTATATTTAGTTTTTGAACAAATCACTTGTTTTCATTTGTGTCCAATAGAGAGAATGTCTTATCCCCATTCAACCACTTGTGAATCTAAGGAGAGACGAATGCAGCAGTCTCTCCCTCCTTGGAAATTTATGTATGGTACACGCTAAGTATCTTTGCATTTGTATGAGATTTAAAGAGACAAATAATTTGTATATTTCACTGTTTTGAATGTTGTAAGTGCTTGTATTCTACAATGAACGATTCAAGATGACGACATCAACTAATATATAGAAGCTCTACGTATTCTTATACTTGTATCGAATATTCATTATCTTGTTAAATATGACTTCTCTTCCTGTCAGACAACTGATAAGGGTTTGCAGAGTTCAACATTGAAATAACCAATGTTCATGCTAACAATTCATTTGCACTTGTCCTGTCGATGATTCATCAGTATGAACATGAGTCAAACGATCTATGTAATCCATGCTCTGGATGATATTTGATGCTAGGTGATCTTTTCGACTAGCAAATTTCTTTTAATATGGGAGGAAAAATAAATGCCCAACTCGTCACTTTAGAATTCAGACGCTTTTATTTAGGAGAAGATCAACATGAGTAATTCTTTAATGAGAAGGCATTGAGACACTAAAGCAAATTCACGTAGGCACACTTATCTCTTATTGCTTTCTTATAAATTGTTTCAAGTATTAGAAAGATAAGCGCTCTTTTTAAAAAAAAATATAACTACCGATTGCTAAGTAGTGAGTGTCATTATCATTTTTCTCTCATCCATCCTCATTGAAATTTTATTTACAATATTCTTGATAATTTATTGAAATATTAGTAGTTTATTCAAGTTAAGTTATCAAACAATCATCCACCTATTCACCTATTATCTAGGGAAAACCTTCTGTGTGTGTAGCGCAAAATACTCATCAAGTCAGATGATTGTGTTCTTGTACATCATATACTCGTGTTCGAATATCAATTTAACGGTGGCAATCTGTCCAATGGTTTATGCAATAATTGAATCATGGAAGCTGCACTGCGTAAGCAGTTCGCGATGATAATGTACCAGAAAAAAAAGACTAACGCTATCGAGATGGTTGGATATCCAGTTGACGGCAATCTCAACCTTAAACGTTACATGATTCAAATGCACTATGACAGTGCTAAGCTGGTATTGAGTAACACTTTGGATTGCAAGTGCGACAAAAGAATATAGACAAATCGCCATGACAGCACAGATTTTCGATTATATGGGCGTGGCCAACCGACCTGATACCCCATAGGAAATAATATTATTCCAGGAAGAGTATATAATGAAATTTTATACCAAATGAAAGCTCGCCAAAAAGGGTGGGTGTGGATGTGGGGGTGGGGGTGGGGGTGTGGAGGTGCGTGGGTGTGAGTGTGTGGGTGTGGAGTGTGGGTGGGTGGGGGTGGGGGTGTGCGTGTAGGTGTGGGTATCGGTGGGTGGGTGGGTGTGGGTTTGGGATGTGGGTGTTGAAATGTTGTTTCCATCGACACTCACACTTACAACCACACCCCCACACCCACATACCTACACAACCACACCCACACACCCACACCTACACTCACACACCCATATCCCAAACCCACCCACCCACACCCACACCCGACACCCCCCCCACACACACACCCGAGCTATTCCGTAAGATAATTATTGGTAAATATACTAATATACTAACAATGATTCTCTATTCAACATTGTAACCCTGTATGAACGGTTACGTCTTCCCTGTATTATTCGTTACGACAGTCCTGATTTGACACTCTTACGTCCTTTGAAATATACCGTGAGAAATTCTATATTAGCTGTTATGAAAGCCCTGTAAAATTCGTTACGACATCCCTGTTTTCTCGTATGTAGCTATTTTTGGTGTTACGAAAGCCCTGTTTTTTTCTGAAAAAAAACAACTCGTCACGTGACGAGTTGCAACGTTCTCCTTCCACTAAACGCTATTCAATTGACAGACTGAATGAAACACGTTTGGACTCATTGCTTTCTAAAACGCAGTTGAACATATAGTTATGCCGTTTAGTTAGTAAGAATAAATACTTTAAAAATCAAGTTGCGGCTGTGCAAAAATGCGTCCACGAGTTCAGCGTGCTACATCTTCGTTGCGATAGTATTACCATTCGAGGAGATACTATTATAATAGTAATGATTTTACAGGAGCATATAATATTATGGTGGGTGTGAGTGATTATTGTTCAGGCATGAATTTTGATGGAGAGAACATTAATATCCACACCTATACACCTATAGAATAAAAAAAAAAGATAATGCTTTTCATCAGCAAGTCCCTGTCGCTACAAACTTTTCTTGTAATTATGGCATGTTTTTTTTATTATTTGACGAAAAACGCTTATGTTCATTTTTTCTTTCAAATAGGATCACTAACGGAGACATTTTGTCATAACCTTGATGCAAACAATAATCAGTAGAAATTCTTCTAGCAGCTGCAATGTGAAAGAAGCACTGTGCGTCAAAATTTTAAAAATCTACAGAAAATAAGCAACGTAATCATGATAATTGCTGAACAATAACGCTCTTCTACATAGAGAAAACACATTTGATATAAATTTTTTTCCAGTGTTACTGCAGTATAGACATGCATCAGTTGAAATATACGATTTCTGATAACGACAGAAAGAAACGATTTTTCTAACTAATGTCGAAAAGTAAAAATGTTAGGAGTCTACAGCTCATATGAGCGTGAGTAATTCCTTGTTTGAAAAATATGTAAAATGCCAAGCTTGATTCATTCACTTTTCATCATATTTCTCTCCCGACATGTTTTTGATTCAACCGATCGAGCTAGGATTTTCGTGATAGTTTGCAAGTTAGGCGATAGAGATAAGCTTTTTAGATATTTTTCGAGTAACGTGATCCTCTAAATCGAAAGCCATCTGAAAAGTCCTATTTCACTCGCCTAAATCAAGAAACGTCCCAAAATAATTTTGCATAGTGTCGATGTGCGATTCTCGTTTTTCTTATTAGGGATATTTCACAACGCTATCTCATTAATGTGAAGAAATAAATACCGAACAGCTGGCAAGCGCTTCGCTGCATCAAGCACAACACTGCCGTTCCTTGCAGTGCGCATGCCACTTTCTCTCACTTTTCTCAATGAAACTGGCACTGTTGAGCAAGAAAGAGAGCTTCAGTCGGTTGTGAGTATAAACAGTTTCTTTCAGAGTGTTCCACCCTGTGTTTTCTCTACAGCATCAGCTTCCGTTTTCATTTGAATACCTCACATAAGCAGACAGACATTTCGAAGACGATGATCAATTCTATATCGATTATAAGAGCAGGATACTCGCTGCAGTCACTCTTCGAATATCGTCAAGTTCAGATTTACAAGATTCTACTCTCTGCAGGTACCCACTTTTCTTTTCATTTTAGAGCAATTGAAAGAAATTCACTGCAACTGACAAGTGTGTTATGTAGAGTACGAGGAACAGTGATAGATTGGCAATTAATACTCTCTGATAAAACCATTTGAATGTCATTTTGTAGCAGTTATATTTTCCACCTTCTCTCGATTAAGAGTATTTGTCGTGAGAGCTCACGCAGAAGCGGATATATGACTATATCGAAATCAGAAATCTGATTGTAGATTTGGATTCGCCATAAGAAATTTGACCGAGTTTGAAAGTTTCAGACTTTTCTGACGAAGTTTAGGGGTCTCCAGCTTCGATTTTCTAGAATTCAGCGGGTTTTGTTGAAAACCTTTTCTCTTTGCTACCAATGGAAAACTTTTTTTTCCATTTCCAAATGTTTCCCAATGCTTAATCTTTCGAAAACATCGATAAAATAGGGATGTAAGTTTTCTTCAGAGCTTAAAGCCTGATTTGAGTTTTTAGGACCACCAATCTACATCGAATTCTTCAATTTTTGACCTTAGGTAAGTTTTTTCAGTGAAACTAATATTAATTACATATTCAAAATGGGGGCAAAATGTCGAATCGAATAATGTAGCTCGCAGCTAAATTGAAGCACACTTTGGTTTTTCAGTAAGATTTTGTAGAAAATTCGAAAAGCAAAAGCAAAGTTTTCAGATCATGATTATACCCATCTGAGGCACTTTTTGACATTGATTTTCAATATCTATCTAGTTTTCTTTTCTTGCAGTTCTAGCAGCTCTGTTCTCACTTGAAAGTTGAGAAACTGGTAGACCGTAAACGGACGTTCAGGCTTCATGTCGTAGTCTTTTTTCCAAGCCCAGTAGTCAGTTTCTGTGGAAAAAATGCTTCAGAAAGTTAAAGCGGAGAAATAAGCTTTTGTCAGAGAATTTTTAGACATACAGAATTTTATCTTTACGAATTCTACGAACTCGGTCAATATCGTTTTATAGCGTTACAGGGAAATGTACAGTACTATCCCGCATGATGGATAGTTTTGCACATTCAACACTGAAGCTGAAAAGAATATACGAGCCTTGAGTCTGCCTTTCAGCTGCTTCTGCGACTTTCGCAGCTAGTGAGCAGGCCTTAGACTCTGGTTTCACTAGCCATAGTGGCTCAACTCAACCAACAGTGGAAAGGCGTTCATACAATCTCTTCTACTAATGGGTGGCCGTAGAAATGTCGGAAGGAAAAATATCGAAAATAGAGGCACCACTTATCGCATCACTCACATGTTTTCTGGCGCCTCTATTTTCGACATTTTTCCTTTCGACATTTCCACAGCACACCCTATTAATAAGAACCCTTGTACTTTGCAGCCTTTATTTCCCAAAACGATTCGGATTTGTTTTTTTTTGAAGACACTTTATCAGTACCAACTC